TAGGGAGGGCCAGAGCGCACGGCTCTTCATGACATCAGGCCCTCCCATGGGGCCCGAGTGACCCCCGGCCAGGGCACAGCCTGTCCGTGTGGGAGCGGCTGCCCGCGTGGGTCTGCGGCATGGTGCGGCGGCGGCACCACGTGGGCCAGCTGTCCTCACCCTCAGACATGATGGCGCCCTGGGTGGGGGAGGCTGCTCTCACTCCGTCTTTAAGGACAGGGAGCCCACGAGGCCTGGTCATGTGGCTGACTGGCAGGGCCGGCCAGCTGGCAGTGGGGGCTGGGGTCACTGCCGCTGGTGCAGTGGAAGGGCCCAGGAGAGTGGGTGCCTGGGAGGCAACGAGCCAGAGCTGGTCCTGCAGCCCCGCCCCGCCTGGGAGTCTGTCCTGGAGCCTGTCCTCTGGGGCCCCGGGCAGTCCGCAGAGCTGGGAGCTGGGAAACACACCCTGCACAGACAGAGGTATATGGAGCATCATGCGTAAAGAGCCTAGTGTGCCACAGGGCAGGGTGAGGGCCAGGACGAGGCGTGAGATCAGACTGCACCAAAGTAACGTTTGCACCTGCCACCACATTGTCGCCCCTCGAAGGCCTTCGGCGTCCAAGCTGGGACCTGCTAGGGCCTGCAAATCCCAGCTGCGGGGCCTCAGGTCGGCGAACCTGCAGTCTGCCACGTGCTGACAGCGTCCTGAGATGGGGGCCTCCTGGGGGCTGGCTCCTAGTGCAGCAGCAACAGGAGCCTGGGTCCACATGGTTGACCAGGGTTCAAGTCCCAGCTGTGGGGCCTTGAAGAGCATGCCAGGCACACGCGTGTTCGTGCCCTGATTCTGACAGGACAGAGGAGTGGAGGGGAAGGGGTGGCGGCGTGACCGCACCTTATGGGGGTGCTTTCTCCCCCGCTCCTCCCTCTCGCCCTCGCTCTCTGACAGGCACGTGCACCCGCTGGCAGTTCAAAACTAACAGGGCAGAGGGGTTACTTGACACGGCCCCGGTGCTGGGAACTCTGCCAGCGAGCCACTGCCTTCGGGCTGGGGGCAGGACGGCGGGCATGTGCAGAGTGTGGGCCGTGTCATGTGGCCTCTGTGCACCTCCTCTCCTCATGAACCCATGGGACTGGTCAGGGGACCCACCCAGTCCTAGGCCCTGACCTCTTCCTCAGAGCCCCGCCTTTCGGCACCGTGACTGGATTGTTTTCAGCCTCTTGGTCCCACCCAGTGGCATGGCGCGAGTTTGGTGATATCTCCAGTGGGGAATAAAGGCGGGGACTGTGCGTGCACTGCACGTGTTCGCTTCCAGAGCTGTCTCCAGACTGCAGCCACCCTGCTGGGCTGGCCTGTGAGGAGTGCTTTGTTGGGGAGCCAGTGGTCCCCAGGAGCCAGCTGGCAGGCCCTTCCTCAGCACCCCTGCAGGAGATGGGCAACTCGCCCACCCAGGCCTACACGTGTGCTAGAATAATGAGGTGGGCCGTGGGGGTACGGAACGAGATCACTAAAATGGGTGTGGAGGTGGCAGCCACCTCCGACAGGGCTGCTGGCAAGCCCCAGGCATGACATTCTGGACAAGTGCAGCCCCTCAGAGCCCACTGCAGCCAGGCCTGCCCAGCCCCTCCCTGCCAGGCTGGCTTGGGGTCCCCCCAGGGGACCAGTCCTTTCCCACAGGCCAGGGGCACCCTGCAGCCTGCTGGTGGAAGGTGGCCCTCTGGGGACCCTCTGGGGGCCCTCTGGGGCTGGGCCTGACCACTGGTGGCCTCTCTGCAGGTCTGTGGCTCCCCAGTGCGGGTGCAGGCGCAGCGTGGCCGGCTGCAGAGCCGCAGGGCCCGGATCCACCAGCAGATCAGCAAGGAGCTGCGGATGAGGACGGGCGCCGAGAACCTCTACAGGTGAGCTCCCACCTGGTCTGCGCAGCGCCCGCCTCCAGGAGGCCATGGGCTGCTGGGTGACCTGTGGGTGCCAGAGAAAGCGTGTGCACAGGCGCCGCAGCCACACACAGCCCAGGGCCCACTTCACCCTCCGCGTGAGCCTTAGACCTGTGGGCCGCAGGACAGGGCATGGAGTGTAGGAGCTCCGCCTGGGTGTGTGGGGGCCAGCAGGGGCCAGGGATCGGCCACAGCCAGCCAGCCTCCCCACGCCCGCGCAGCCTCCTGGAGGACCCCAGTCCTTGTCAGGCTCCAGGGGGAGGCCCAGAGAGGGGTCTGCTGTCTCTGCCTTGACTCGCTGCGGAGGCTCCGTGTGCCAAGAAGGGCCCAGTCTGTCCACGAGGATGAACTGCACTGCGGGGTCAGGGCAGTGAGCTGCGGGGATGACGGGGAAGGGACATCCCCCAGTGGCCTTGGGAGTCTCCGGGAGTGGAGGGCTGTGGTCCCACTGGGACTCTGACCTGCCCGGGCCTCCGCAGAGCCACCAGCAACAGCCGTGTCAGAGAGACGGTGGCCCTGGAGCTGCGCCACGTCAACGCCACCCTGCAGCTGCTGCAGGAGGAACTGGAGGAGCTGAGCAGCGCAGAGGCGGGCACGCTCCAGAGGTGTGGCCACGGCGAAGTGGGCGCGGAGCAGGCACGGGCGTGTGGACGTGGGAGGGCAGGCACCACATGCGTGGCCACAGTGGCACGGGAACGGGCGCAGGAGCTGGGGGACAGACACCAGAGGTGCGGCCAGAGGAGTGGGCGGGCTCCGGCTGCACGCAGCAGGTGCGGAGTCAGAGCTGTGCTTGTTCTAGCCAGGGTGTCACCGTCCCCATGATCCCCCTGGGCCTGAAGGAGACCACGGAGCTGGACTGGTCCACACCCTTGAAGGTAGTGCTGCCCAGGCTCCAAGGGTGGTGCCCCAGCCTGCCCTGTGTCCAGGGACCTTGGAGGCTTCCTGGGCCACCATCTGGTTGAACAGATGGGACCCAGAGGGGGAAGGGCCACCGGGGCCACCCAGGGACCTAGGTCACAGCATCCCGCCTCGGGTCAGGACTTCTCCCTCCTGCAGAGTTTGGGGCCCGCACTGGGGGTGTGCAGCTCTGGCATGTGTGAGGAGCGCTCTGGACAGCCAGTGTCCTGGGCTCTCCAGCCAGGCCGTGTCTCAGGGCTGTCCTAGTTTCTCCACACTCTGCCCAGGCCCCAGCCTTACCCAACACGGGCTGCTGGCAGCTCTGCGGCACAGACCCCTCGATGGTGGCCTGGGAGACCCCAGGCAAGGACGCCAGGCACAGGGCTGCCCCAAGGACAACTCCTGCCCCCACCAGGAGCTGATCTCCCAGCACTTTGGAGAGGATGGCGCCTCTTATGAGGAAGAGGTCAGGGAGCTGGAGCGCCTGCGGCAGGTGTGTGTCCCCCCCCGCCTCTCACCCCTGCTCGCTCAGGAGGGCAGGGGCCATGGCACAGAGGTCCACACCAGGGCCCCAAGCATGCCAGCGCCAGTGTGGTGGCAGGCCCACAGGCAGCCTGGCACACCACTGCTGGCGTCGGAACGACTGCTCTGAGCCTGTCCTTCCTCGGCCCCGCCGCCTTCCCCGGGGCCTTCCTGGGGCCTTCCCGGCGCTGGTGTGACATGTGGGCACAGCCAGTTCCTCCCCACAGGCCATGCGGACCCCCAGCCGGAGCGAAATGGGCCTGCAGCTGCTCACGGCCTACTACAACCAGCTCTGCTTCCTGGGAGCCCGCTTCTTTGCCCCCACTAGGAGCCCCACGCTGCTCTTCCACTGGTAGGGCTGGGCAGTGGGCACGGGCGGGGGCCAGGGTGCCAGGAAGCTCCACCAGCCTGAGCCCCCGCCCCTGCAGGTATGACTCACTCACAGGAGTCCCGGCCCAGCAGCGGGCTCTGGCCTTCGAGAAGGGCAGTGTGCTCTTCAACATGGGTGCCCTGCACACACAGATCGGGGCACGCCAGGACCGCACCTGCGCCGAGGGTGCCAGCCGCGCTGCCAAGGCCTTCCAGAGGGCTGCCGGTGAGGGCCATGACCCCACGTGGGCAGCCCCGAGCTGGTGGGCCCAGAAAGGAGGGTGCAGCGTGAGGGGGGGCTGGCCCAGCCAGGGCTGAGCGGACACCCCGCCCTGCACCCCAGCCAGGCGACCGTCCCCTGAGCACCCTTCCGTGCAGGCACCTTCGGCCTTCTGAGGGAGAACTTCTGCCACGCGCCCAGTCCAGACATGAGCGCCGCCTCCCTGGCTGCGCTGGAGCGCCTCATGGCCGCACAGGCCCAGGAGTGCGTCTTTGAGGGCCTCTCGCTGGCAGATCCTGCAGCCTCCCACGACTGCCTGGCTCAGCTGCGCCTGGCTCAGGAAGCCGCCCAGGTGAGTGCAGGAGGGCACCAGGGCCCGTGGCAGCCTGGCTAAGCCTGGCTCCTGGCAGAGGAGGCAGGAGGGCGGGGAGGTGGCCACATCCCCTGCACGTGGGCTACAGCGAGCTGCATGGGGGCTGCTGGGAGCCGGCCCAGGTCTCCTCCCGGGCCTAGGCCGGAGCCCTCCTCGGCTCTGCTCAGCTGTGAGGGGAGCGGCTGGCCTTGGGCGGGGCCTGGGATGAGGGGTCCCTTGGGTTCCACACTGCTGAGCGTGCCTGCCGTGCCCCAGCAGGTGGCAGCTGAGTACAGGCTCTCCATGGCCCGGCCTCCCGTTCGCGACCATGTGCCCGTGTCCTGGACCGCCCTGGTGCATGTCAAGGCTCAGCATTTCTGCGCCCTGGCCCACTACCACGCGGCCATGGCCCTCTGCGACGGCTCCCGTGAGTGTCCCGCCCTGCGCCTGCGTGTGGCCCAGGGGCTCTGGCACTGGGGCTCACGGCTTCTGTAACCCCCAGCACTGGCCGAGGGGGAGCTCCCCATGCACGAGCAGGTCTTCCTTCAGCCCCCGACCCTCGCCGAGCCGCGAGGACCCGCTATCCCCCAGGGCACAGAGGAGGGC